AGATCATCAAACTACGTGCCAATTTAAACTATTGAAAGGAACCATAAGTTTGTGTAAAAAGAAGAAACAACATCAATTAGTTCCAAGTAACTCAAGTCAAACCCATGCCAGGTTGTCCATATATATAAACATAAGATTTATTACAGTTGCTTTAGTTTCATCCCCTAATAAAACCCCTTTTAAAAACATCTTTTCAACAACTGGGAATTTTCCCAAAGGGTCCTTCAACTGCACCAACTGAAAACATTTTCTTTTGACTCACGGTTTTTTACTCTGTTCTTGGCTCATCCTGCAACTTAACACCGCCGAACTTCCAAGAACTACACTGAAAGCAACAACTAACAGTCACCATAAGCAGACCCTTTGCTTGCGTTTCGTCTCTTTTGCTTCGGAGGCTCAAGATCTATTTAACACCACGGAGCAAAAAAAAAACTCCAGTCCAGAAAGGGGGCGGTTTTATTTGGCTCCCGCGCCCGTCTGTCTATCTGTCTGCTGCCTTTTTTCCAAAACTCCAGCCAAGAGGATATTTACCTGCAACGCCAGCCTACCTCCCGATTTTAACTTTCAAGCCAGGGGTGTGATGGTGTTTGATGTTGATTATTTCTTCCCCGGGCAAACTCCAGAAGATGAAAAGTCGAAATCTACCCAAAATCCATCAAAAGCTCTGAAGTCAGACTCGGGTCCAAAATGAGCCCACGAAAACTACATCCCAAGGCCGGGCAGGGACGGTGTGTGGTCTATACACCCGCGCGCGCGGACGGACACACACACACACACACACACACACACACACACACACACACACACACACACACACACACACGTATTCCACCCGTTCCTTCTACCGGCCAAGAGAAGGTGGTGGTACCCACTTACCCTTCTGCCCTTTCTCGTTCCTTGCTGGTCTTTTCGTCTGTTCGGTGGGGTTTTGGTCCAAGCGCCTCTCGGTTTTGGGCAGCTTTCGGGGAGGGAAGGCGACGAAGCTAGAGTTTTCTTCCCACGATGCGACGGTCCTCCTGTAATCCCAAGCGGGGCATCAATTTCTGCGCGGTTTTCTGGGCTGCGCGAAACCTTCAGGCGCAAAACAGCATCTTCCTTTCGTTTTCGAGATTGGCGGGTGGGTTGAGGTTGGAGATCTGAGCTTGCCCGCTTCTCTCTTTCTTTCTCTCCCCCCCCCCTCTCTCTCAACCTTTTTTCTTCTTCTTCTCTGGCTGCTCTTTCTTTTCTCTCCGTCTCTCTGTCTCTCTCTCCCTCTTTTCTTCTTCTTTTTAAATGCTCTCTTTTCCCCCTCTTTTTTTTCAGACTGGGATGGTTCGGGAGAAATAGGTAGAAAAAGGCTACCTCTGGTTGGTGATGCTTTCGCGATCCCGGCCTCTCCGCCAATGCCTTCTTGCTTCCCCCTCGCTCGCCGCCTCCGAATGGCTGGGAGCTCCTCGCAAGCTCTGGGTGGTTGTGTCTCCGTGTGTCTATCTGTGTGTATGTGTGTGTATGAGCGCGCGTGTGTGCGCGCACGCCTCCCCCCCCCCCCCCCACACACACTCCACAACTCACACACCCAAAGCGCCTCGCTGCATCGCGGTGGAAAAGGTTCGTTTTTAGTAGTCTGCAGCCAGGAGCGGATTTCAAACCGGGTGCATCAATGCGTGTAAACCGGGTGAGAAGCAGCGGTTGCCGAGTTGAGTTTCACCCCAGGCAGAGTTATTCGACGGTAGATCCCATTGAACCCAACGGAGATGTCGCCTGCGGAAGTAGAGCGTAGGTTTGGTAGGAACGCGTGTATCCCATTGCGTTCATCTTTAGCTAAGAAGTCCCCTTAAAAAAAAAAATCCTTGCCTCGCGAAAAGGTCCTTTTGGAATCGGGTAGCTGAGAACCGCAGCTCTACGGAGTTACTCGGAAGAAGGACCCATGGAGCACGATGGTGTGCCCCATTCCCAAGAAACAGAAGTAGGGCGTGCAGGCGGTGGTAGTTTCATTGCGCGCTTGCTTGTTAGGTAGATCCCGTGAAATGCCAAGGAAGGGCTCCCAATTCCCTTCGCCTTGGTAACTACTATGCCTGAAATTTTGATCCGGATTTAATACGTGCGATGTTCTTGCCTGTGCCCTACGGACTAAGTAGCACCGGGTTCAGTGTTGCCTACCCATAGGTAAGTAAGTTGTGTAGGTGGCTTCTATGGTGGCATTGAATTCAACAGGATTTATTCTTAACTTTGTAGAACCTAGCCACTGATAGTGCTTTAGTTTTTAATTGTATTGACCACATTGTGTGTATTACCCAAAACCGTGTGTGTGTGTGTGTGTGTGTGTGTGTGTGTGTGTGTACAGATGCGTGCTTAGGATGGCATTTGTCTACCTCCCTTTGTTACATCCTCTATTTCTGTGATTTTTTTCCCTATTTTTATTACTTTTTA